TATGCAAAAAAAATTATTGCGCTAGCTCACGTGGTTGCAGAGCTACCGGGATTTAAAAGTAGTTACGCAAAACCGGCTTTAAAGGGTTAAACAGGAATATAACCCGAGCACAGCCGCTCAGTCTCTGTTGGAGAGACGCCTTGCTTGTGGGCAGAGACTGACTGAGACTGCAGTGAGTCAGTCAGACCCAACTGTTTCCAGGTTGTTAGGTTGCCTCCAACCTGGCGAGGTGGGTCCAGGTTGAGAGTTGCACGCTGGTGGCCACAGCTGTGGCTGTGACTCAATGCTTTCACTTTAAACCGCCTAAATGTACTTTTTACTTTTAATCGTCTTGATCGTTGAATCATTTCCAGTCATCTCCCGCCCGTAGAAGCCGACTGTTGGTGCACGCAGAGCTCGGGAGCAGCAGGCTGGTCCACAGACCTCCAGCAGCGTCATCAGGATGATATGATCTTCAGAAACATTTCACACAACTGATCCTCACCTCTCCTGCTGCTGTCAAACAAACTCAGAACGTTTATGTAAACATGAAGCGACCACATTATTGATGTGATTATGAAATTATGGCGTTTCGTTCCGCCGTGGCGTCCAGTCTTTCTCTGAGAGGGTGAAGTCGAGTCGTCACGCTTCACGTGGTGAAACGCAGCGGCGGCGACTTCCTCCCTGCGTTCAGCCCGTTCCTGCATCTCCGCTCATGCTGATTTATTCCTGTTCATTCTGAAATCCAGGTCATCATCAAAGCGGCGCGGCGGTCCCGCAGGGCGAGCCGCCACGTTGCCCCGAGATCCTCATTACTGCAAACGCTGCTGTTGTTGTTGGTGAGGGGGCGAGGGGGGTTTAAGGGCGGTGGCAGCAGACTCACGGTGGAGGTGGTGTCTGTGAAGTCCCTGCAGGCTGACCTTTGACCCCTGACAGTAAACTCTGCAGCTCCTGTGGTCGCTGTGTTTACAGGTTTTGACGTAAGAAGTCGGAAGATGTTAAACTGGCTTCCATGAGCTGAACCTGCGCAGAGCTCTGATAACTCAGCAGGTGAGAGATGCTCTGACTTCCTGTTGCTGACCGTGGCGTTACGATGACGCGCTGACTAGACGCCATCATACCAAACAGAGCTCGGACCATCGAGGAACCCCCTCGCTTCAAGAAGGACGGCAGTGAAAATGAGCCTGCGAGCGAGGACGGGAACGAGTCTGTGGTGTCGCCCCCGGCGGCGAGGAGACTTTTCTGGCAGCAGATCAAAGAGGCGGCGAGCTTCGTCTCAGTGTCTGAGCAGCAAACCTGCTGAGGAGGTCAGCGCCGGGCCAGAGGCTGATGCAGCGTGCTCGGGAGGACGATTTACGATCGGTGTCCCCGTCTGCTGCAGGAAGCTTCTCCTCCCGTCGGCTCTGATTGGATTTCCTCTCTGACATCTCGTCATCCCGCAGCAGGCGTGGACGTTATCACCGACTCATGAGCTTCCACCTGCGGTCCAGACGCCTCCGACCACCGCTGAGAAGTTCTAGCGATGGATCGCGTGAGCTCGTACAGGACTGTGGTTAGTTTGGACCCTGCAGGCTGTCAGCAGGACAGCAGTAAGACACACAGGAAGGTCAAAGTTCAAATTAACCTGTCACACAGCCACAAACATCAATATTACCCATAATGCATCTGCCATTATACTGCGTTCAAACCTGTAAAGACAGCGGTGGAGGAGTGTGTGCGGCCGTTTGGTTCATGAATGTGAAAAACTTCAGATTTGTAGCATCACAGACAGAAGCTCCGCCCATCTGTGTGTTTTAACCTTCTGTCTGCAAAGGCCAGCCAATCAGAACAAGGTTAGCTTGAAGCAGTGGTTCTCCTGCAGCTGGTCTGTTTGTCATAAACAGACACGCTGTTGCTGTCAGTTTAAATCCTACATTACCCATGATCCTTTAGCTCAGCGTTATTCTCGGTTTCAGTCTTTAAGTCAATGAGCTTCGTGTACGTTTGACTTTTTAACCACGTGTTCCTGCCGTCCTCCCGTCCAGCTTCACCTGAACGACCCGCTCGCTGGACGATCACATGACCGCGACCAGGCGCTCATCCTCTGTGTGTTCTTGTGTTTCAGAGCTGCTGGGCTCCACTAAGAGGCTGAATGTGAACTACCAGGACTCAGATGGGTGAGTGATGAAGTCAACACTATAAAAAGACGTTTTCTGGGCTCGCTCCGCCCAGCGAGGGAGCTTTTTTTACTCTCTGCTCCCCGAGCTCCTATAAAAAGTTTCCACTCTGAATCTGCTGAGTGGAAACTTTGTTTAAAGCTTCTTTGTTTTGGTTCTTTAGCGT